GCTATCCTCCCCAAATCAACACTTAGCACCACTAACACACCCGATCATACCCACTGATTTACCACCTTCCCCTCCAGACAGGGCCATTCCTAGGCAAAGACCCTGTGTGAGGGTCCAGAGTCCTGTTATCATATAAATGAGGCACAGTGACAGAGGTAGCCTACAGAGAGGGACATTGTGAGGAGGACAGTAGAATGTGTAAAGGATCAAGTTAAGGGTGGAACCCTGTCCTCACAACCTTTGAGAGGCCCGCTAGGGCAAAACCCTGTCCTGGAAAATCTGTAATAGGAAACTGACTCAGGGCAGGTGAGATCTGAGTGAGGATAGCACCTAACTGTGACCTGTGGGCCTCCATGTTGGCCCCCAGGCTGGGGCACCTACTTTCTCATGGAACTAGCCATGGAGGTGGTCACAGCTCATGATGAACCATTCCAGACACTCCCAGCCCCCTATGTCAACCCTGTGACCTCAAAGCTCTTCTTTGAGGCCTCCTTGGCTTAGGGGCCCCACTGGAATAGCCCTGTTGCTCTGGCTCTTTGACAACAAGTTCTTGGGTCTCCCTTCTACCCCTAGTTGTCCTCTCTCCCTCTCCATCACTGTCTCAGGTCTCTGAGCAACTATTTCATTCCCTTTCCTGCATCTCAGGCCCCAACCTACCCCTGTGGCCATGCATACGGAGTCCTGGCCCCTTCAAGGCCCGTGTGGTCAGACACACCTGTCTCCACCACAGCCAGACCACAGCCCAGACATGACGTGGAGGCAAGAGGCCACAGTGTGGAGGTGGGACAGGAAGTGGGTGAGGGACCCCATCTAGGGGACAGACACACAGTCATGCAGCCCCCTCACCACTCAGTCTGACCCATCCACAGGCAACCACACACAGAGAAAAACAGCTTCCAGCCAAGGCTTCGCCCAGTCCTAAGCTCTCTACCGTAGGGCAGACGGCCTTTAGCCATGAGGATAGACCTACGGTGTGGGACCACCTGGCCATGGGAGGCCTGGCTGTTTCCCTATGAAGGACACTCAACAACCTTGAGCAGGTGGGTCCCGGTACCATCTGGACTCCTCTGCTCATGGGTGCACTGAGGAGGAATCTCAACCAGGCCAGGCCTAAGAACATAAGATAGAGAAGCATGTGCAAGCAAGAAGGAGGTGATTCAGAGGGCAAGAGCCAGAGGGACACAGGACACGAACACAGGTACAAGGCGGTGTCTCAGTCTGAGCTGCAGAGAAGAGAAGACAGCGGATGAAACCCAGCTTCCTGGAAAGCAGCAACAGGAGACTCCCAGGCTAGACAGAGGCAAGGATTAGGAGACAACCAAGGATGGGGGTGACTCAGGCTGCCTTGGCTGAGCTGAACTAAGCTTCACTGAGCTGAAGGAGACTGAGCTGGGCTGAGCTGGGACAAGGTAGGCCAAGTTGGGCGGACTGAGCTAGTCTAGAATGGGCTGGGCTAGTCTGAACTGGACTGGGCTGAGCTGAGCTGAGCTAGACTGAGCTGGGCTAGGCTGAGCTGGACTGGGTTGAGCAGGACTGGGCTGAGCTGAGCTGAGCTATACTGAGCTGGACTGGGTTGAGCTGAGCTAGACTAGTTTGAACTGGGCAGGGTTAAGCTGAGCTGAGCTGAGCTAGACTGAGCTGGGCTAGTCTGGACTGGACTGGGCTGAGCTGAGATTGACTGAGTTTGGCTAGTCTGAACTGGACTGGACTGGGCTGAGCTAAGCTGAGCTAAGCTATACTGAGCTAGACTAGTCTGAACTGGGCAGGGCTAAGCTGAGCTGAGCTAGGCTGAGCTGGGCTAGTCTGAACTGGACTGGACTGAGCTGAGCTGAGCTGAGCTGAGCTGAGCTGGGCTAGTCTGAACTGGACTGGGCTGGGTTGAGCTGAGCTGAGCTAGACTGAGCTAGACTGAGCTAGGCTGAGCTGAGCTAGTCTGAATTGGACTGGACTGAGCTGAGCTGAGCTGGGCTGAGCTGGGCTGGGCTAGTCTGAGCTGGACTGGACTGAGCTGAACTAGGCTGAGCCAGGATAAACTGGCCTGAGATAGGATAAGGTAGCCTGACTTGGGTGACTGAGCTAGCCTAGGGTGGGTTGAGCTGAGCTAGACTGGTCTGAACTGGACTGAACTGAGCTGGCCTGCAGTAGAATGAGGTGGACTGGGTTAAACTGGGCTGAGCCGGGATAAGCTGGGATGGACTAGAATGCTCTGAATTGGCCTGATCTAAACTGGCCTGGGATGGGAATGCTAAGCTAGGCTGGGTTAAGTTTAGTTGAGCAACAGTAAACTAGATTGGGCAGGGCTGAGCTTGACTGGCATGAGTTGAACCGGAGTGAGCTGGGCTGGAATGGGCTGAGCTGAGCTGGGCTGGGTTAGCCTAGGGTGGTATGAGCTATGTGGTCCTGGCCTAAGTAGACTGGGCTAGGTTGAGCAAGTCTAAGATGGAGTCTGGGCTGAGATGGAATAAGATAGACTTAGTTTGGCTGACTGAACTGGTCTAGAATGAGGTGCACTGAGCTTGGGGTGGCCTCAACTGGGTTTGGTTTATCTAGCCTGGGCTTGGCTAGGCTGAGTTGAGTTGAGCTAGGTTAGACTGGGCTGGCTGAGCTAGCCTAAGCTGGGCTGAGTTAACTGACCTAGGCTGGGATGGGCTTGCTGGGCTGGAGCAGGATTAACTAAAATAAACAGAGGTGGATTAGGCTGAGTTAGGATATCCTGAGCTATATTAAGGGGATGGGATGAGATGGGCTATCCAAGACTAAGCCGGGCTAGAATTGGCTAGGGTGAGTTAAACTGGCTGGGCTGGAATGTGCTGGGCTGGGCTTAGCTGGGATAAACTAGAGTGAACTGGGCAAAATAGTCTAGGGTGGTCTGTACTGGGCTGAGCTAACTGAGCCAGACTGGTCTGAGGCAGGCTAATTTGGGATGGAGTGGACTGAGCTGGAATAGGCTAAATTAAGCTGGGATGAGCTAGGCTAGACTTACTGAGCTAGGCTGGAGTAGGCTAGCCTGAGCTAGGCTGCCTGAGCTAAGCTAGGCTGAGATGAACCGTAATAGATGGGAAGACCTGAGCTAAGCTGGGATGGTCTGGGCTAGACTAGAATGGACTGGGCTGAGCTGGGCTAGACTAGATTGGACTGGGCTCAGCTGGGCTCAGCTGGGCTCAGCTGGGCTAGACTAGAATGGACTGGAATGGTCTGGGCTCAGCTGGGCTGGGTTGTGTTCAATGGGGGTAAACTAGACTAGGCTACCCAAAGTAAGCTGGGCTTGGCTAGACCAGGCTGGGCTGTGTTGGGTGGGTTGCACTGAGCTGGGATAAACTAGACTGGACTGGCTAAACTAGGCTGGAATGAGCTGGGCTGGGCTGGTATGAAGTGGTTTAGGCTGGGCTGAGCTATGCTGAACGGAGCTGGGCTGAGCTAGACTGAAATGAGCTAAGCAGAGCTGGACAAAGCTAGGCTGCGCTGAACTGCATGGCTAGGCTATACCGGAGTGAGCTGGGCTGGGCTGTGCTAAGCCAGTTTGGGCTAGGATAAACTCAGCTGGGATGAGCCAGGGTGGACAGGACGAGGTAGGGTGGAACGGGTGGCTGAGCTAGACTAGGCTGGGCTGAGCTGGCATGAGCTGGGTTGAGCTGATCTGGGCTGGGATAAGCATGGCTGGGCTAGAATGGATTGAGCTGAGCTGGACTGGGATGGGCTGGGCGAACAAGGCTGAGCTTACCTGGGCCGGGCTGATCTAGATAGCGTTGCACTGAGGTAGGTCAGACAGGCTTGTCTGAGCTGGGCTGAGCTCGGTGAGCGGTGCTGTCTGAGCTGGCTTAAGGTGGGCTTAGTTGAGATGAAGTGAACTACGCTGGAATGGACTTGCTGAACTGGGCTGAACTGGGCTGAACTGGGCTAGTCTGGGCTAGACCGGGTTGGACTGAGTTAGTCTGAGCTAGGCTGAGTTAGTCTGGGCTGGGATGACTTAGTCCAGGCTAGGCCAAGTTAGACTGGGATGGGCTAAACTGAGCTGAACTAGGAAGGGATCAGATGGGATGGGCTGAAGTGACTGGGCTGGGCTCAGTTGGCCTTGCTGGGCTGAACTGGTCTAGGTGGTCTAGCTGGGCTGACCAGAATGGGCAGAGGTAGGCTGAAATTAAGCTAAACTTGGCTTGTGGTTAAGATGAGCCAATATGAATTAGGCTGGCTGAACTAAACTTGGCTGTGAGCTAGCCTGGGGTGAGTTAGCATGGCTGGACTTGCAGTTCTAGTCTGATAGTCTGAGCTTTGGGGATTTGTCAAGATCAGTGCTGATTGAAAGACTTTGGACTAAATGTCCAGAGTGTGGCCTCTGCTTGTTTTGTATGAATGGAATCATGCAGCTTCATGCCCAGTCTCACACCCTCTTCTCCTTCCCTGACTGCCTGGTGGAAATTCACATGTACCTGTAAATGGTGCCTCCATGCACAGAGCCACTGCTCAGATTTAGTCCTCTGGTCTTTGGATCCACTGCTTGCTGGATGGATGGGCAGGTTGCTGGAGTTGTGGGTCTGAAGCCAGGACAAAGCAAGTGTAAAGTGAAAACACAACAAAATGGCCTTCTCCCACACACAGACACACAACCCCCAGTGTAACCTCCATGCCAGCTCTTCCCCAACCACTCCTCCCCTGTGCTGCCTGAGCTTTGATCTCAGGTTGGCCACCCCTGCCCAGACCCACCAGTTCTGGTGCTCCTAACCCTGGGACTGAGCACATGGCTCTACCCACTGCCCAAATGGGAGTGAGGCTCAGAAATCTGGGGCGCTAGACTGCTCAGTAGTACAGTTGTGTTTACAAAGACACTTACAGTATGTGCAAAGCCCTGCTGGAGGCAGTTGGCTCGATCCTTGTGAAAGATGTTCAAAATCTATACAACCAGAACTGTTGGTCAGCTCCAACTGCAGGTGCATGATGCAGCAGCTATGTGATCCTGGGTAGGTTCTCTGGTGTGAAGAAGAGAAAGGCATGGTCCTTTCTCCTGAAATTGTCTCAAGATGGGCAGTGTGAAGACTGTTATCTCACTCATGTTTCATATTCCAGAGTCTCAGAAAGATCCCACCATCTACCCACTGAGACCCCCACCATCTCCCATCCCAAGTGACCCAGTGAGAATCGGCTGCCTGATTTATGATTTCTTCCCATCCGGAACTGTGACAGTGACCTGGGGCAAGAGTGGGGAGCATATAACCACCATAAACTTCCCAGCTGCCCAGACCTCTGGGGGACGGTACATCATGAGCAGCGAGTTGACCCTGCCAGTTGAAGAGTGCCCAGAAGAAACAACTGTGAAATGCTCTGTACAACTTAACTCTAACAACGTCAAAGAACTAAATGTGGAATGCCCTGGTAAAGATGGTTAGGGGGTCAGCTGGGGGTGGGATAAGTCCTACATTAACCTGGTACCTGGACCCATATATCCCATTGAAGCACACCTCCACAGGGAACCTCAGAAACCACCCAAAGAAGGCATGAACAGGCCAGAAGGAGCTGAGGCCTCAGAATATCCAGAAAAGGGAACAGCAAAGGAGAAAAGGAGACTATACTGATTTTCTAGGACTTCTCTGTTACAGATATTATTCCTACTCCTACTCCTACTCCTACTCCTCGCCCTCTACCCTGCCATCGCAGCCTGACACTGCAGCAGCCAGCTCTTGAGGACCTGCTCCTGGGTTCAGATGCCAGCCTCACATGCACTCTTCATGGCCTGAGAGACCCTGAGGGAGCCGTCTTCACCTGGAGTCCCACCACTGGGAAGGAAGTAGTGCAGAAGGAACCTGAGCAGGACGTCTGCGGCTGCTACAGTGTATCCAGCATCCTGACTGGCTGTGCTGAGCAATGGAACCGTGGAACGACCTTCACATGCACAGTTACCCATCCTGAACTTAAACAGGAAACCTTAACTAAAACAATTGCCAAAGTCACAGGTGGGCCCAGATGCATGCCTGGGACATTGAATGACATTCCCTGCTTACATGCTTTCTTCCTATAATACAGTTTGATACAACTTCTCACGACCTTGTGTCACAGAGGGAACTGGAGCTATCTGAGGGACTGCCCAGAAGGGAAGGGCAGAGGATTCTTTGCTTTCCTTGTCTAAGCCATAACTCTTTTTTCTACCTTCCAGAGAACCTCTTCCCACCCCAGGTCCACCTGCTACCGCCGCCGTCGGAGGAGCTGGCCCTGAATGAGCTCGTGTCCCTGACGTGCCTTGTGCGAGGATTCAACCCGAAGGAAGTGCTGGTGCGTTGGCTACATGGAAATGAGGAGCTGCCCCCTGAGAGCTACCTAGTGTTTGAGCCCCTAAAGGAGCCAGGCGATGGACCCACCACCTACCTGGTGACAAGCGTGCTGCGTGTGTCAGCTGAAATCTGGAAACAGGGTGACCGGTACTCCTGCATGGTGGGCCACGAGGCCTTGCCCATGAACTTCACCCAGAAGACCATCGACCGTCTGTCGGGTAAACCCACCAACGTCAACGTGTCTGTGATCATGTCAGAGGGAGATGGCATCTGCTACTGAGCCACCCTGCCTGTCCCTACTCCTTAAATAAACTCTGTGCTCATCCAAAGTATTCCTGCACTTCCATACAGTGCCTGTCCATCATCCTTAGGGTCTACAGAACACAGGGAGGGGTCAGGGTCCAGAGAGGGAGGAACACCCACCACCTGAGCTTGTAAGGCCTCAGAGACATTGAAGGCCCTTCATGCCTAGAGTATACGTGTATGTATTAGTGAGTGCTTATGAATGAGGGCCCATGTGCCTTCGTGTGTATACCTGTGTGCCTATGGGTTTATAGGTATGTATAGGGATATAAGTGCATATGTGTATGCCTTTAAGTGTGACTGTATCTGTGTCCCTGTGAGCATGTGTGTGCCTGTGTATACCTATGAGTGTGCACGTATCTGCGTACGTTCATGTCGGTAGAAACATGTGTGTCTATGAGTGTGAGTACCTGCCATGTGAACGTGCAATGAATGGGAGGTGAAAATAAGCTGAAGATGAAATCTGAGGTGAGCAGACTCAGTCAAGACAGGCAACGCTTAAGGAAAGTCCAAAGAGCAATGGGTTGCTGCAGAAGTGCTCTGAGTGGCGGGTGGTGTGGCTGTCTGTGTATTAGACAGATTGCAGCTTCTGGACAGAACAAGAAAGGGAAAGATGGAGCAAGAGAATAGCAAGATCAAGGCTGGTGCCATCTTGGAATCACACTAGGGATGGTAAAAGAATGAGGAGATGAATTCAAGGGGCACTGGGAAGATGCCACCCACCCTCAGTAGACCAGCCCTGAACGGAGACATGCTTAGCCACTCAGGGTGACCACTGACTCATGGGAGTGAGATATAACATGGACACAGAGAGCCCTCAGCAGCAACATGCTCTGCATACAGACACATGAGCATACAGCCTATTCAGCGTACATGCACATGGGCATACACCACCCTCTTCTGCATACATGCACACGGGCATACACTCTGCTCTGCATACATGCACATGGGCATACAGCCTGCT